CTGTAGTGCTGCTCTCTCGGCCGGGGGGGGTTTTGTATCCCCGCCGCGACCGGTATCTGTCAGCCAGGCTGCTCCAGAGCTGGTCACGGCTTGGAGCGATAGCGATACCCCACCAGAGAAAGAGGCCCGAGAACAGGCTCAGACTTTCGTTTTCTAGCCCAGGCGTTATTAGGAAAACAGCATCCCTTAAGAACACTGCTCCTCTTGAACATAATTCCCCTGTTTCCAAAACAAACATTTAAACTTTCTTTCTTGAGTAGATGTTCTCAGACTATTGTTTGGAACAAATTTCTTTCTCAGTCACAACATGAGCTCCTGAGCATTTGTTGGCAGTATTAAAGTTGGGTTGTTCACAATCACCCTGTCAAAATTAAACACTAGTGTTTTGCTTTCCCAAACTGTTATGATTTTGGCAAGAGTCCTGTTCTGCAGCCTGCAATCGTCATTCTGGGCCACCCCAGCAACTATAGCAAAACCATTCCTGAAGCTGTCAGATCATCTGCACAGAGCAGCCAGAGGTCAGCAGTTTTGTCAGGATAGATATACCCCAGCCTTTCATCTCGCTGCCTAGGACAGACACTGCACCTCTGTTACCAACCCATTCATTCATCGTCCCATACACATATCAAATTCTGAAATTTAAACATTGCCATCCTCTTGTCCTTTCCTTGTACGAGACCAGGATCTGGATGGTACCCATCCATTTATATGGGTTTGTAAGTTCAGTTTCTGTTCACTGGAATTAAATTGCCACTAATAAAACCTGCACAATTCTTAATTTCTGTGTTAGTATCACAGAAACAAACAATTAAGTTATTTGTTAGTGACGATATTACTTAGCTAGTTTCCTAGGAATGCTGTGATTGAGGGTTTCCAGACAAGAACTCTGCTTAAACAACTCCTCTCTGCTCAGGCAGTTTGCATTTCACTATTAATATTATGAGCAGATAACAATTTTAAAACCCATCTATCCAGCTATTTATATTATTACAATAGCACACTGACCAACTGTTCTTTGCAATTACCAGTTGTATTCTTAGGTAAAACAAGCTTACCTTTGTTCAGAAAGTGAAAGGATGGAGAATGTAGACAACAGAACAGTAGTGTATGTGACAAAAGATGTACTATGAAGGACTCTGGCAGGGGATTGTTTTGAGATCTTTTTGCTGTTTAACTGGAATTTTTTATTTCTTTATTTTTTAGCCAGCCTATCAAAATTTGAGGCAGAAAGTAGACAACTTTGTATCGACCCACCTGGACAAACAGGAATGGAATCCAGCAATGAACAAAAACCAGTTACGAAATGGGCTAAGGCAGAGTGTGATACAGTAAGTAAGCAACATTCTGTAAAATAATGGTAATGCTATTTGATAAGTAAGATATAACTATTTTATTACCTAAATCAAATAAAAATTTGCAGAATTGAGTTTTTCACGACACTTTCTGTTGCGCTTTCTTGAGTTTCATTATAATGGTGGGTGCAGTCTTAACTCTCATTAAAATGCTTGCATTACAGCTTTACCTGAAATTTGTATTTTCATGAGTTGAACGTGGTGAAATAGTAATATTTGCTATCTAGCCAAGTTACTGATGTAAATAGCCAACACTGCCTGCTAGCAAAACTGTGCCTGATATGCTGAGCTGAATTACCTTGTCCTTTATTTGCAGAAAAGAAGTCTTTCTTTCACTTAAAGAAAAAATTGTGAAGATGCCCAAGTTAAGTAGACTCTGACCACTAGCAGGCAGTAATCAAACTGGGCTGGCCTGATCTCATGCAGCAGAGGGTAGCTTTTGTACAGCTATGATAGTACATTTCCAGCATGACAGGAAAGCCAGCTTAAACTATGCTGCTTTAGAGATAACACTGCAGTCTGAAGCACAAGCCTTAGCTTGTTTGACTACAAGTCATAGATAGAAACTTTATAGTAAAAGTTGTGGGGAGAGGGGCACTGGGGAACTTGATAATGGCATTTATGCTTATAAGGAAAGGTACTAGAATGTCTCGCACGCAGAAGAAACTGTATTTCAGAGCACTTGATATGACCTGTAAATCATGAGTATATAACATTAGTTTGTTCAATCTGTAATTAGAGTTGTTGTCCACTGGAAGTACAGAATTTCCTGGTTTTACCTGGAGTACTTGAGACATGTTTATCACTTAGTGCTTCCTCATATTTCACATTACCACTAGAATGAAGAGAACAATTGAAAACTGTTATATCAGAGAACCTATAATGAGAAGAATGTAAAGTGCTCCCTTTAAGTAGGCTGTCAGTATAAAGAATAGACATACAGTGTTAAGGAGTTTGAAGAGTCTTTGTCATTCCTGTAGTTGCAAGACTAAGCACTGAGGGTGTCAAGATGTGTATGTCCTTTGTTGCATGCATGTATACGTGTGCTGTTACCTGGAGGTGACATGATGTACCATGACCCTGCACCCACTCGCTCACCAGCATTCACAGCCTTATTAGTCTTGTGGCTACTTTTCCGAGCGCCAGGCAACGTCTCTATTTCCTGTCCCCCACTCCGTTGCAGACATGACTTAAGCCTGGTAGACAGCCTCTGTCCCATAATCCAAGAGACTGACGCAGCCCCTGAAGTAATAAGTCACTTCAATTACTAGTGTTCAGTTCCAGAAACTTTGCTCTGTGCTCCATGTGCTTGTTTTTATAATTAATACCCATCTGTCTAGACTAACGGTTATAAGGAGTGAGTGACAGTAACGTTATTAGGGGAAGGCCTCTTCTCCCTCAAGTCAGCCAAAAAAAAGACTGTGCTCTTACCTGCCCTCCTCAGAATAGCTTGTTTCCCTTGTTTGTGCCAAAATGTGTTTGTTTGCTTTCACGTTGACCTCATTTCCACATGAGCCCTATTAAAGTGGTTCTTGTCCAATATGTCATTTAAGTACCTGGGAGACCAGATGTCAGTTGTTAATTCTATAGGGAGAACTGAGAGAGGGTGGGGGAGAAATAGGTGACTGAAACAACTCCCTGTTGAGGATCTACTGAGTGGACTGCAGTTCTCACCATGTTAATGCTAATTGCAGTTGACAGGAGGGCTCTGGAGAATTACTGGAGGAGATTGGGGAGAAGTTTTTCAGAGGAGCTGAATGACTCCTTTGTCTTTGTTTCAAGGTCAGGAATGCTGGAAGCTGGAGTGGACAGAATTATTTCTCAGGTGGTGGATCCAAAACTAAACCACATCTTCAGGCCCCAGATAGAGAGGGCAATTCATGAATTTTTGGCTGCACAAAAGAAAGAGGAAAGTGTGCCAGCTCCTCCTCCAGAGCCCGAGAATAAGGATCCTCCTGCTCCATCTCAGGATGCCTCATAAAGGTCTTGTATCTCTGCACTTAATACTTATATTTTTCATGTACCTCATCTCTGTAGTTTGTATAATGCAAGACAGAGAAGACATTGTATTCTTCCTGGCTTGAAAGGGAGGACACTGATCATCAGCATGTTGTCAGTGTCAGACAGTCATCTGAGCTGCTTCCACTTAAGTGTCTGCTAAAAATATATTAGGACTGAAGACATAGGTATGATGTAAAACAGCTATCAAGGAACACTGTGGACTCTGCCAGTGCTGGTTTTGGATCAGGCCAAAAGGCCTTTTATTCCTGTAAAAGTATATCCAGCACTGATTGAGATGGAATTGGCTGGATAACTTTCAGAGCAATATCAAATAGATTAAAAATACATATCCTTTACTGAAATACAGCTTAAAATGGAGTGGTGACAAGTTATTGTGCTTTAGCATTGAAAGTTGTAGATAGCTCTTCTTTAGAACATCCACTGGAGCGTTGAATTGTTTGTGACTGAAATATTCACTTCTGGAGTAAGGGTAATGTCTTTGGGAGTGAATAACTTCATTCCAACCTATATCTTTCCAACTGAAGGGACTGAGGGTGCTTTTGTTGCAAAGAAGTTCATTCTGGCTTTTGTGATTAAAATAACTCAAGGGGCCTCAGGGGGCTATAATAGCTACTCTGTCTTAAGACAAGTGACTATGCACCCATCTCAGCTACGGCCCTGTATCTTAGCACTGATTTGAATATTGAAGCCTGTGTGCACATTACTGAGGAACCACTATCTTGATGGAAAATTTCAATCTGCAGCTTTGCTGCGGAGCTTAAAGCCATAGTGCATGAAAGGAAGTTAATTGTGAATTGTTCTATCTGCTAGGGCTTTCTGAAAGCAAAAAATTTCCTTATAATCTACAGCTGACTTATTGAGGTGGAATAAGTAACCTACAATAGCTGTTCTTATGCTTGGAGTTATTAGATCAATTAGCATGACTTTTAATTTAATAGAAGTTAAAATTCCTGTGGTATCATCCTGAGTTATTTAGTTATCTGTGACTTGCAGCCTTAATGCCATGATAGATCTTTGCATTTGTCTGGTTCAAGTATTTCAAAGTCCATTATAACCTGCAGCTAAGTGCAGCTGTTAATTAATATATTCTAATCTATTCTCTATTCAAATGCATTTACTCATGAAGGTACCATCCTCTAAACTCTTTTTTTTTTTTTTTCTTGCAGTGAGTTCCTGATACTAAGCAGCTGCAGTTGCAAAATATGCGTCCTGTTAGATTGGCAATGGATTACTTGTTCCATTTGGTGCAGGATTGCTGTTTGCCAAAGATGATTAACGGTTATCAGACCTGTGGGAAGGCATTGAAATCAGTGGAATTCAGATGCACCTGGAGTTCTGTGTGTGGAGGGACAGCCAAAATGTGAAGATATTTTTACTGTTAACAGCAATACAGAGAGAAGCATGTATTCTTGTTAGTCATGCCTTCAGGCAAGGGGGTGGGAAAGAAAGAGAGTTGGCTCTTGTCTGGAGGGAGCAGGGAAGTGGTTTGAGATTATAGTAGATTTGGGAACAGGAAGAAAAGAAAAATGTTTTTTGGAGGGAGAGGGGGGCGGCGCGGGTAATCTCTTGGAGACCAAGAGCTGACAGATTTTTCTTTGATATAAGCCAGACGAGAGGAAGTGTCATACACCTCTGCTGCATAACACAGCATTGAGTAGTAGATGCCAAGTCAGGTGTAACTCCTTGCACTACCTGCTTTAGGAAAGACATTTCCTGTTTAAAACTGGAAAGAACACTTCAGGATCAATTATCTAGATAATTTCTGTTGCATCACAGGGAAGTGTTTACAGTTGGCTATGACTATAGCTGATTTAATTCTTATTTCCTAGATAACTCTGGGAAGTAAAGGGCACCAGAGTAGGTGATCAATTTGAAACTTGTCTCTTTCAACTTGAAAGACTTCTTTTCCCTTTGAAATTTCTCAGGTGCCTAGTGGAAACTGTCCTATGCTTTCAGCTTGAATGCATGCAGTGTCCTCTGGATGACAGTCAAGTAGACAATGTGATCAAATATTCTGCCAGCAAATGTCCATACCTTTTTCAATAAAAGACTTGAAAAAGCATCTCTGACTCCTAGCTTTTTCAGAATTTTTTTTCTTAAGGAAAAACTACTTTGAAGAAATCCAGGAGTCCTGATTGCTGGAAGCCTAATGGAAGTGTGGCCTTACACAGTTCATAGATTAATCCAGGTCTGACAAGGTGGGGTTCTTAGTAGAAATTACCATGAAATAAAATGGATATTAGTATTCCTGTCCTTTTAAGGTCTCTTAAAAAATCTAAAGTATCAAAGAACTGAACTGACCTTACCTCACATCATTGATGAGCTCTAAATCCTGAGTAAGTTCAGTCTGGTGCTAGTGATAGTGAAGGCATGTTCAACCTTGTGAAAACAAAGCACTTCTCACAATAGGCTAGAGCTATTCCAACTTTTTTCTTTGTGACAGCAGTCTTTTATGAATTTAATAACTGCCTATGTTGTTGAATAACACTTAGTTTGAATCCTTGCTATTCGTGGGCTACATACATCAACTACAGCCTTACCCATAGACCTTGTATGTGAACAGATGGAATTCCAGCTATACTCTGCTCCATTTTCAAACTGGATAATTTACCAGAAAGATTTATGCTGTGTTTTAATCTTGTAACTTATTTTGCTTAGTACCTCCTCTCAGCATAGTTAAATGCAGAAGGAGATGACAGAACAGCTGGTATTTTAAGCTCTTCACAAGAGTTCTGTGAACTTCACCACTGCCTTAAGTTTGCTCACTGCACAGTGTTGTATAGCCCTGCTGATACATGATTCTTCCACCAATATTTTTATCACATTTAAGAGTGTTCCTTTCAAAATTGGAGCTTAAATACCCGTACTTTTTAGTGATAACTATGTTATTGGCTGTGACCTTCCTGATAAGGTTTGAAAAATCTGTATGTTGGGAAAATCTGATTGCATGGCTTGACTCTCACTGTTCTATAATCTGTGTTCCTGCTATAAAACAGGACAAGGGGTATGTGAGGAAAGGGCTCTCTCCTGCATGATGATTTGGTGGTTAAAGACTGCTCTCCAAATCAATAGTAGGTGTTTTCCCTTAGACCCTTAAGGACAGCTCTCTTGGCAGGAAATGATCCACCTTTTACTTCCTGGTAGGGTGTCTCAACCACTTTTTTGAAACTGAGCCATTTATGGGAAGCGGGGGTGGGGAGAAGTTCAAGAGTCTAGAAAAAGACCAGACGTCAAACTGTGCTTAGAGTCTGGGTTACAGTAGCAGTAGTTAGGGAGCAGGGATGCAGTTCAGTTTTAAAAAGTAGTAAGTAAAGCTAGATTTCTTGCAGTGAAGAGGGAATCTGAACCTGTGTTTTCTACCTCTGACAAATGCTTTAGCAGCGGAGTGAAGGAGAATAGATTCAGCCACCATATTTAGAAGTTTTTTTCATTGTTTTCTCTTTGAATGTGGTGCTGTGTTAAACTGACCACTGATGCTGTGCCACTGCTGTGCAGGTGTAGGGTTATGCCTTTAGCTGGTCTCAGCCTCTGCACAGTGCATGACTGTAATGGCTGTGGGAACTTTCCCCTAATGAGATTAGGCAGCCAAGCCACATTTGGGATCATAGTCTTTAATCTTTCGGCTCTGGAATCCTTACTTTGGATCAGCGCCTTTGAAGTAACAAGCTTTGGAAGTATACATTACATCAAGTGGGACAGTGACAAAAACCACCAAGTCCTCACCATGATGAAGAAATGGTAGGTAGTGCCCTTTGATTTTATATATTTGTCCCTGGCAACTGGTAGAAAAAGGATTCCAGCATTAGTAACTCAATATTCTGTAAATCTTCACACTAGAACAAAAGAACAACTTTGTATCTGCTGCAGAAGTGAAATTCTTCCCTTGTGTAGTAGAATGTCAGACTACAGTTAGCGTATTGGTCAGTCTGCATTGCTATGATGGATATGTTAAATACGGGCTAAAGACTCTTGTGAGACAGGTCTAAGACACCTGAGTAATTCAAGAAGCAATTAGCTGTCTTTTTGGAGCTGAAGGGGCAGGGCCATACATAAGGAGGATGAGCCTCAGTGGGTCAAATGGGCCTTCTCTTTGCTCTCAGAGTCCTTCTCACATCTGAGTTGACTGTTCTTGTTTCCTGGACAGTCATTTCATACCTCAAATTTGCTTTCTCAGATGAACATATTAAATGCTTTTGATAAAGTTAGAGATTGCACCATTTCCTCATCTGATATACTAATAACATGAAGGAGGTTTAAAGATTTTCCACCTCCTTGGCTTTGCCTGTCCCCCTGTGCATTTGCTTCTACTGAGTCACAAAAGACTGGCTGCAGTTTAAAGAAAACAAGGAGTTTGAGTTGCATTCTTGGAAAACCAGCTGTGCCTCTTCATGGCTGCTCTGCCCTATGGAAATGCCGGAGTGCAAAGCCTGCAGGAGCCAGCCTGGCTCACTAGGTACATACCAGGTGAGGAAGTAGAAGGTACAAGTTCTCTGCAGAGTCCTGCTAGTCCACAGCCATGTCTGTGGCTAGTTGTTTTACCTGTTTGCTTGCCTGTAAAATGAAGATAACTTTACCCTCCTATGTAAGTCCTGGAGTGGGGAGGGAGTCAGGTGCTATGTTTAGGCCCAATACAATGAAAACTGAAAACCGAAAGGAATGCACACATACACACCAGTTAGTTGTGATATACCGTATAAATTTTAAGGATTAGACATTACAGGTGAAGTCCCACGGAATCTTCCTGAAACTCACATCTTGCTGGCCAGACTAGGGGTTTTAATTAATGCCATTTAGTGTCAGGTCATGACTCCAGAATTAGAAGCAGACAGATTGAACTATGAACCAATGAACCCAGTTTCACAAGTTCTATGAAGGAAGAAAAAACCCACCCAAAACCACAAACCTATCTAGGATTGCATTGCTATGCATCAGTCAATCATCCTGGCACACACCAGTCACAGCCAAGTGGCACATAAGGCAGTGCCTGAAATTCTAGCTGTTGCTTGGCTATTAAAGGAATTACCACACATTTCCTATGATTAATAAAATACAGTAAAGCAAAAAACCCACCCTGATCTTAAAGCGAGGGGAAGAAGAAGGAAGAGCAGGGTGCCACTGATACTGACCACCCGAAAAACCATGAGCAGATGTCAGCACTCTCCCCTCCACCACTGCCTCAGCTCCTGCACTTTCCTGGGCTGCCTTTGGGGCTGATGGATCACCCTGGTCACTTAAGCCAGAGCACAAGGAGGTGGGTTATACTCATTAGCTTTCTCCAGCTGACCCTTCTGGCAAAAGCAGGCTTGAGAAGTTAGTGTGGACACCAACTGCATGGCCCAGGTTTTTGTAGCTTTCTTGCAGAGCTGCATGTCCTGGTGTGTTTATAACGTATGTACCCAAGTCCCAGCAAAACAGAAAATGCCCATGTCCTGCACTCCAGATAATCCAAAACTCCGCTAAATACCTAATTCTGAAAATTTTCAGATGTTGAATTCCAAAACTTTTTAGTCAAAGACAAGTATAATCATGTTCTCTTGAGTGAACCAACTAAATTTTACAGTCTTACTAGAGAAAATAGAGAACAGGAGGTTTTCTTAGTTGTTCTGGGAGTTCTCATATACAGACATCTCAGTTCACATGTTAACTTGCAGTGCTGCAGAACTTTCCTTAGTTTCCCACCATCTATTTTCCCTTCTTCATGTCAAAACCTGAACTGCAGCCTTACAGCAGTTCTGATGTTTTTTCCTTTGACAGTTGCCTGAATGCTGTCAGGTGAGAAAAACACAGCAGAATTCCATTGCCTCTCCTCCGTTATTCCTGAAAAACTAAGCGTGATGCATACCACCAAACACACAAAGCAATCTAGGTAGAATCACAATGATGTTGTTTTTACAAACATACATATTTTAGTCCAAGAGAAACTCAATTACAAGTACTGTAAGGAGTTAAGTATAACATTCTTGAAGTAAAACTGATTCTAGCTATAAATGATTAAAGGTATTTTACTTTTTTTTTTTTTTGCAACTTCTGACGCAATCACTACATAAAATAAATGGATGCTCCCTGAGACACTATGTAGTTGTTCTATGACAATTACTCCAGAGATATTTCCTTCAATTTAACCTGAAACAGATTACCGATAGTCACCACAGCTCCTGACCATCTTCACAAGGCCACAGTTTCACCTGAGCCTGGATTTTGGACACATGCATTCTTCAAGCCCTTTCGCAACTGGAAAGAAGTTTCTTGAGCAGGTCATTTGGTTCAGGCTCAATACCACAGCATTAATTTAACAT